TTCTATGACATCTTGGAATCAGTTAAGCTTCAGTGTATTCAGAACATGATGCACCTAAAAGGCTACATGGGATTAAATTAAACAATTTTGGAAGCACTTAGTAAAAGGTGTGCTTCAAAGTAAATGTTCAACAAGTGATAGCTATTGTTGTCACTATGATGTAAAACTTTGTTTTATCTGCTAGTATTGATAAACTAGTCTCTGTATCAGTAAGGATTAGGACACAAAAGACAGAATGGAATATATATTTTCATGGATATATATTTATATATATATATATATGTGTGTGTGTGTGTGTAAATATATAATATATATATTCATTCTGTCTCTATGCATAATTTATTAAATCAGCTTACTTTGAAACAGCACCACCATCTGTGCTACATTGAGAAGCTGAGAACCTGATAGTTGCTCAGACCACAAGGCTTCTTCAGTATCAACCTGGTGAAGAAAACCTGGGTATTACAAAAGAAACACTGACTCTCAGATGAGGATGGAGGAGGCCTGAAAACACTAATTCTAAAATCAGCAAAGGAATCAGCAGCGAGAGCAAGGGGGAAGGTGTTTTTTTGTTTGTTTCTTTCTTTCTTTTTCTGGACTGCTATAAGAAAGTGCCACCATATTTTGAGTAACTCTTTCCATATCAATTAAAGATATCAGAAAAATTTCTCAATTAATGCTCTCTGCACATGTGAAGCTCATTTGTTGCAAGCTAACATTAAAAGTGACCACCATAGTCCTGTTAAGCCACTTAATAAAATATTTCTTGAAATAATGCTAGTTTTCTATTCGTTAAAAAATAAAAACCTATGTACCACATATTCTTGTCCTTGAGCTCAGCGGTGGCTAGGAGATGAATTCATACAGTAGATTGCTCTATTTGAATAGCAGAGTGTGTCATGGATCCTGAGAAACATAACCTGTTGTTGCAGGGTGACATTCTTATTTGTTTTCTTTTGCTTCCTTCACCTAAATGACTTCTTGCTTTTTCTCTCCATGGACACCACTCCCTAACATCATCAGACTTTCAATTCTGTGACCTGGAGGTATACATGTGTCCTAATCAGGCTCTTCATAGTAGTTCAACAAGCCTTCATCTAAAATGGTGTTGGTCCCCCAAGATGTTACGCAGTTTGTCTGCATCTCAAGAATGTCTATGTAGGAAACATTGAGTAACAAGCAGACACAGTGCACATTAGCTAAAAATGCAGACCTGGATTCAAGGCCTTGCTCTTCTTTATGATCTTGGGCATTAGAGTCCTTATGAAAGACACCAGGAAATGTCTTCATCTTTAAATCTAGTGTCATTTGAGTATTTTTTGTCCAACTTTGAGGTGATACCTTTTGTTATATCTTATTCTGTTTTATTTTATTATATATTTTTTAAATGAACAAATGAAATCTTTGTATAAATGAACGAATGAACAAACAACCATGAAAATCTAGCCACTAGAGTAGGTGTTAACAGCTGAACTGTCACTTAGCCTGCTGGGTGATAAAGGATCGATTTTCCTTAATAGAGTGACACTTGGTATATCAAATATTCCAGGACAGCCTCCTGTTTTGGATTAGCTCACTAATGCATAATCAGACACCACACTCTTTGTGTACTTTTATTTTGTTACAGTTTGGTGGAGGTTTTGTTTCTAGTTTTGTTTTGTTTTGTTGAAGGGTATGGTTTTCTTTTTTGTTTTTGCTTTTAGGGTGTTGTGTTCTTTTATTGAAGATTTTGTTTGTTTGTTTGTTTGTTTTTGAGAAAACTTAAAGTTGGGTGGGAAGGGATGAGGAAAGGATCTGGAAGAACTTAGGGGAGAGAAAGAATATGATGAAAATATATTTAAATTTCAAGTTGTTCTAAATAATAAAAATGATTGTACAATCTATATGGTCTTAGTATATTTTAAGGCAGGAAATGTTGGGGAGGCATTTTAGAGCATTAAAGGATGTTAGCTAAGCTATTTTTAGCAACATAATAGTTTATTGATTATTTGGGAATTTCACAACATGCACCCCAATCGCATATCTTTCCATTCCATCATTGTGCCCTTTCCCAACATACAAAAAAAAAACAAAAACAAAAACAAAACAAAACAAAAAACCAAGGACAATATGTGTTGCCCATACACTCACTCATTGGTCAAATTCCCAGAAGCCAACCTCTTAAGGATATTTGAGTCTCCCTCCCTATCACCCTTCCCCCAGCTTGCTCTCTCTCTCTCTCTCTCTCTCTCTCTCTCTCTCTCTCTCTCTCTC